TGAATTGAATTAAATTGAATTATCTGCTTTTACAGTGTTGGTATCATTAATTGCTGATAAAGAAGGATTTGAAGTATATGCTGTTGCACCTTTGCACACTTTGGAAATAATTATTATTGACACATCAGCAAAACCTTTGACTGTAAGATAGCAGTATCGACATATACTGCAGTGCAGGATGCAAGTAGAATTTCACTTTATCAAACATGACCACTAGGTGGGAGCACAATCTTGTTTATGATAGCAAGGAGTCTGGGTCTTTTGGACTGAAAAAGGTTTGAATCTTTTCATAAGATACAGCTATTTGATCTGAACTAATGTGATGTTTGTAATCAAATAGTTTGTTTATTTGTTTGTTGTTTGTGTATATTCTGTGTTGGCTTAGAAACAGTTCTGGACAAAAGCACAGTTTTGGTGTTCAAGTCTGTGATCCTTTTAGAAGTGAAGCCAGCAGCGGAGGGGAAATTAACACCGCACACTGATGGATTTGGGGATGTGGAGTGTGTGCATTCTGTGTGGTTGAGCAACTGTCCCACTCCAAGAAATGTGTTAAAACCTTTTGTTTTTGTCTGGTTTTTGCTTCCGAGCAGCCAAACTGTGGTTGACTGCTGTTAAATCTCTCAATTTTCAAAATGTCCCTTCATAACCTTTCCTTGGCTGAACGTCCGCACAAGCCTCTGCCGTCAAATGTTCCAAATCTGCAAGGGAATGACATTTCTAATCATACTCATTTCTCTTTCTTAACAGCTTGTTTTATGTCAGAAACCCCAGTTTTATTTATCATTTGCAAGTGAGCTTCCTAATCACTGACGATCTTTTGGAATACAAGTTTTCCACCTGGCATCAGGGTCAAATAAATACCACATCAAATCAGCTGATGCTGTCTCCTGAATGGCCATATTGTTATTGAGCTAATCAACTGGCACCAGCACAGTGCCACTGTTTTATTTCAAAGCCGGTTCTTACATCAAACAACACTTCTCAATGCCTCAAGGGAGGAATGCTGTGCAACAATCGGTGTTGGGTTTGAAGACAATATGTCATAAATGGACACAGTCTTACGTCAGCACTGAGAATAATTGTAAGAGAACCCCAGTAGGATTCATATTTGCATACATCAAAGGAGTTGAGAAATGTGCTTTTGTTGATGGTGTGTATGACTCACCTCACCAGAACGCTTTGCTAGACTTACACTGCACTTTAAAAAACAACAACAAAAAAACTATAATATTCCAGCAGCTCGGCACCAAAAAATACTGTAAAATAACAGAAAATAACTGACTAATTCTCTATTTTCTATTTTCTAAAATTAAGAGTAAAAGTAATTTTCTATGATTAAAATACAGCTTTAATTTTACAATTTTTGTTTGGCTTTTTTTATATTTAATTAAACATATTTACACATGTAAAAACAATGAATAAATACAGGCCAACACTGCTACTACAGAAAAGTTCTGTTATGATTAGATTTTTCTTTAATAGAAATTTTAAAAGTTAGAGAACTGTAATAAAAGTCACCATCTGTGAAATTACAGTAATTATTTTTGTTTTCAGTGTTAAAAACTGTATCTTGACAGATTGCCAATGCTTATACACTGATAAAAAACATATATTCAATGTTTTTGCTGAATATTAACAAACAAATCCATGTACAATTACAGAACAAATACTTTTTTGACCTACTAATTGTCTAATTTACATAATTTTAGAAATGTATTAACAGTATTAAACTTGAATTTAACAGTTTAATCTATTAAATTAACAGTAAATATCTGCTAAAAATTATAGACTCGCAAATTTATTTTGACAAATGTTCTTTTCATGTTTCATTCCTATAATAACATTGTGTGAGCCAAGCCTCTAAGACTGCATTCCCATTGTTCCACAGGACAAAGAGAAAGCAGAACTTCACAGCCGAGAAATTCCTAATGTGCACACTCAAAGGAAACCTTGAAAACCTTTGTTTTGCTGCACAGAAACCAATCCAACTCATTTGTCCTGGTGGTTCAGAAGGCTGAGCAGCACATTCCACATATTAGCTCACACTGTGGTGTCACTGATGGTTTATTGTATGACAGTTGTTCGGTTCATCCCACCTGTTTTCCTCTGGGTATGCAAACTGTACAAAAATGAAATAAATGAATGCAGAATATCAAGGCCATTCTGATACTGCCTGTTTGCCTGGGTTTGAATCCCAGCTGGGGCAGGGGCCTTTCTTTGTGGAGTTTCGATGTTCCATGTTCTACCATCAAAACATGTATTTCAGGTTAATTCTCAGGGGCAGTTAGTGCCCTTGACCAAGGCACTGCACAGTGACTGCCCACTGCTCCTAGTGCTATAGGTCAAATGCAGAGAAAGAAACATTCATTAAATGATGAATGATGATTCATTAAAATCAAGAAGCCCTCGCAAAGGCCCCATGAAGCTTTGGCGACCCCCAGGTTGGGAACCACTCGCTTAAAGCAAGGTCTGAACCCATGAGGATAAACCTCACAGCAGTCTTCACAAAGATCCCCTCCAGACATGTATTAAGATAATATATACAAATAGTCTGCTTGGAATAATATGTGTCTAATATGTTTTTTTTTATTCATTTTTTTTGCCAAAAAAAGTGAGGATAAAGTGCTCTTTCGTAGACTTGTGACGTTCACGAACAAACCGAATCTATTGAATGGCTCCTTAACATGAACGATGGGAACCAAGTTGCAGTTGAGAGCCGTTCTTTATCTTTTTCGTTCTTTTTTAAATGGCTGTCAGGCACACAGCATGCGCACACAAGCTCTTCCTGCTACTCCACTGAGACGGAGNNGCAGCAGAGTACACGTGGGGTGCCAATTTGATATGCAAATTTCACATGACCTCATCTGGGCTGTCCGACACAGTGGCACATGGCCTTCACGTGAGTGCGCAGTGTCAGTACTGCAGCTATGAGACAAAGGAAGCTCAGCAGCATTTGGATGCACTTTTCGTATGAAAAGAACGGCAAAGCAAAATGGAACATATGCCAAAATAATATTTCTTTTAAGTCTGGGTCAACAAACAATTTGCATCACCATTTAAAAATGCAACACCCAACAGTCAAAGTGGTGGAGGGAAGAAGAGGACCAACTGATGATAGCGACGATGAAGTCTCAATCACTGAAACCGCCAGTGCATCTTCTTCCTCTACATTAGGTGTTAGACGTCAAGCCACTATCACTGTAGCTACAGCTACTGCAGCACCCAGCGCTACCTCTGATACCACTGGGCCCACATCCTTGCCTGGCCAGGCACCTAGCTCTAGTCAAACCATTCCTGCTACCACAAGACCAAAAACAAAACAGACATCTCTCAGTATAACTTTGCATCACCTACCTTGACCCCATTGAGACAGGCAAAGATAGATGAAGAGCTTGCAAAAATGATAGCCACTGACTTCTAACCATTTAAAATTGTGGAAGACAAAGGATTCAAAAAATTCTGCAGTGCTCTCAACCCCTCCTACACTCCTCCATGTAGGAGGGTACTAACCCAGAAAGTTTGTGAGATGTATGAGAGAGAAGCAGCATCACTTAGGACAAGGCTGTCCAAAGCGTCAGCAGTTTGCCTAACAACAGATTGTTGGACGTCAAGGGTTACAACCTCAACTCATTCATGTCTGTAACATGCCACTTTATTGAGATTTGCAACATGTCCTTCCTCGTGCCTATGGACTGTTTTGAATTCACTTGAGGCGGCACACAGCAGACAACCTGGCAACCAAGCTTCTCAGTGTTGCAGCAGGAGTGGGAGGTTGATAAGAAAGTGGGTTGTGCTGCTTAACTGAAATGCTGCAA